GTTGCATCTTCTTCTACTAGATGCAGAATATTTTCTACTTCTACAAAACCTTGTCGAGTAGCGCGTTCAGATGTTATGAAAGCACAGTCTCGCACAATTTGATGAAAATTCTAATAAATACGTTTTTATCAGGATGTATTCGGTGTGGAAAACGTTGACGGTATTCTTCAGCAGCTGCTGTAGCATTTCCATTACAGAAACCATAAACAAACACCATATTTGCATATTCTAAATTTGAATAAGTATCTGGCATTTTGCAACACTAACAATCACATAAATTCGAAATTAAACGTTCAGTTACTGTTCACTGTACACTGACAGTTCATCAAAACGTCAGAATTATCAAATGCCTTTGAGCCTTGAACATATGGCATACTTTGATAATGTTAAAATTCAGAAGGGGGAAGCTAGATGAACATTTTTAATTATGCCATAACTTGAAAACAAATGAAAATCGGATAAGAACATGAATTTTTTAAAATTATTTTCACGTGTATAATATACTCCTAGAGTTTGGTGCGCTCCTTCCGACTCAGCCTGTGTAGTTTTTGCCACTATAGAGTAACAAAGTGATACTGCCTAGTTCCAGTAACTACCCAAATGTTACTTTGACCATAGGTATTTATAGTTCCAACAAATGGTATCGGTGTGGTAACAGTTACTTTTTAAAAACAAACTAAAATAGTAATATTAGTACCAGGGTGAACCCCAGGAACTAAAGCTTTGTAGCGAAAATGAAACCAGTAGGATTTGTTACAAAGTGTGTTACTTGGGATGTTCTGCGCTGCATTCATTTCGCGAGCGCTATGGACCGAAAAGATTGTCGTACTGAAATTTTGAAAAAAGTACATTATACTTGAATAAATCCACTTTACAGCAGTTTTTTGTCTAAGTTGATTGCTTGAAAATTAAGGAAATGAGCGCTGAAATTTAACTGATTGAAAATGTCATCAAACTTACCCCTATTTTGTTACACTTATAATTTATCTTGAAAACCGATTTAAAAAAAAATCTTTCATTCAATAAATTAGAAATTTTGTCTAGTTCATGGTCCCCAAAGGGCGTATTTTTAATACGAGTACTGCATGACTGAGACGCGATTAAAACCGTACAGTCGTTGGTCGTTAGTCTAGAGTTTCGGAAAAATTAAAAGTTGTAGCCGAGTGGTGAAATTGCAATTATACTTAAACAAATGCCCTGACGAACGTATCCAAACTTCAATCAAATCGTATACTAAATCGCTTCGGGGAATTTAATTCTCCTTTTCTATTCAAGTTCAATTTTTTATAAGACTGATACTTTTACAGTTAGGTATTTATTTTCTTTACATGTTTCTACTATTACGTTACATATTAAAAATTATTAAATATGATATTCATTCATTCAAATATCTGTTCCTATCGCTATATAATATAATTAATACTTCAATACCACCATATTTAAAAGACAAACTAATATTCAGAACAACGTTAATATTAGAAATAACTTAACATTATGCCTCGTCATTCTACTGCAATTTTTAATCGCAGCTTTTCATACAATGCCGTTGTTCTGTACAACAGCCTAAACACATCTAAATCTCTAAATGTTTTTAAAAATACATTAAAACGACAGCTCTTGGTATCCCAAAGTATTTAAGTGCAATTGTTTAATTTTTTTTATCTCGTTCGTTCTTTGTGAATAAACACACTTAGGTAATTATTTTTTCTTTTCAATTGTTTTACTAGAATTTGCTTATTGTATTATTTAAACTATGTATAGAATTTATAGGGTTAGATGTAAGAATAGCCTTAGGCTAAATCTCGCCCAGGCAAATGTACATTTCTATATATTTTTTGTATTTTTGGTATGTACAAATAAAGGCCATTTATTATTATTATTATTATTATTATGTCTAGAACCTCCTGGAGGACTTGTTACTAAAATGTCTTACCAAAAAGACAATAGATTTTCTTAGCAATTATAGAAAACGTGAACACTTTTTTTGTACAAAAGTTTTCCATCTGACCTTTTGTTCAAATTTTATTGCAAAATAAATACTGTTAAAATCAGTTTTTCATAATTAGGTATATCTGCAACATTTCAGTGTTCTACGGCAACTTTTAATTTGTCCGAATTTCTTGACCTAAGCCCGCGCGCTTTTAATCGAGTCTTAGTCATGCAGTATTCACATTAAAAATACACTATTTGGCAAACAAGAACTAGACTAAATTTATGATTGATTGTCGGGAAGCATTTTTTTCTAATCGGTTTTTAAGGGAATTTAGAAGTGTAACCAAATAGAGGTAATTTTGAAGAAATTTATAAACAGCCGAGTTTAAGCGTTCACCATTTGCTTGATTGTCAAGCTATCAAATCGTTCAAAAACTATAATAAATTGTATTTATTTCGGGATAAATGGTTTTATAAAAAAATCAGTACGACCATCCGTTCGGCCCATAGCGCTCGCGAACTGAAAGCAGTGCAAAGCATGGGAGTGTAGCCTTCAACGACAAGACATGCCTCTCTTCAGAACGCTTTATAAATAATAGGGTAGTACCATGATAAAAATATTTTATTTATGGGTAGTACTCTCTTGGTTGTTTGTCAAATATATCCTTTAGATGAAGACTGAATAAGAAATTTTAATTTCAGAATAGCTGTTTGCACAGCTTACTCAAAAATTCGTCTTTTTTCAATCCCTCACAGTTTATACCTCATCAGATTAATTTTCTTCAGGTTCCGGATATTGTACCCCGAAGTACCATTCCCGTTTCCATTTAAGGTTGCGACAGTGGCATAGTATGTGCATATGAGTTTCATCCTCCTCATCACATATTCTACATAGGGAGTCATCAGATATCTCTAAGAGATTTAGGTATCTTCTAAGGCTGCAGTATACCGTAAACAGTCCTATTACGGCCTTGCGTTCGCTTCTGCTAAGGTTTAGCAGTTGGATTTGTCTGCTCTTGAATGGACCCTCTATGAATCTTTTAAACTATGTCCAGGAAGTTCCAAACAGAGCCTATGGTGTTCTCTATTTATTTGTTCTGTTAACACCCATTTAACGTGTTGGTATGAAATACCACGTGTGGGTTCTGGTTCAATTAGATTTTTTTCCGCTCCCTTCCTTGCTAAGAGGTCTGCTTTTTCGTTTCCAAACACTCCCTTATGTCCCGGCACCTATTCAAGGGTGACCTTGTTATGTTCTGCCAGGGCCTGGAAGGATTATTGGCAATCAAGTATTAATTTAGATTGTATTTCAGTGCTTTAAGGGAGGCCTGACTGTCTGTCATGATAAAGACCCTCTTATCTCTAAAAGAGTCATTTAGCCTAACTTTGGTGCAGGCATTTATTGCTGTTACTTTAGCCTGGAAGACTGTTGTCAGTTCTAAGATAAGGCATAAACTCAAGACACTTTGTAATGCAGTGTGCTACGCCACGCCTGTGCATAGATCCCTATATTGAATTGTATGAAGCCAAATCCAAGACTCCTTCTATATCTAAGAAAACTCCTAGTGCTATTTCTTTACTGTCCAATGCTTGTTCAGCCTGTTGAGCTAGCCTATGTATGGCTGCATCTCAAGACTTTCCAGATTGGTAGGCAAACTGGTATCGATGTATTGGTTTATCCCATCTATCGATTACTTTCTCCAATTTTTTGAGGATAAATGATGTTAGGCTGATTGTTTTGAAAGATTTGGTCTCCGCGTAAGACGCTTTCCCGGGTTTGGGAATAAAGACTACTCTTGCACACCTCCAGTTTTGTGGAACATATCCGAGAGCTATACTAGCTCGGGATAGTCCTTACATTACTTCCTGGCTTTTTTGTATAAGTGTCGAGATTATACCATCAGGTTCAGCTGTCTTGTATGGCTGAATATAATTTATTGCCCAAACAAGTTTTATTCTGTTTGCAAGAGACCAGTTTGTTTTTGAGGCCCTAGAAGTTAGTGCCTCGACACTCCTGTTCTCTTGGTCAAGAATAATCTCACATTCAGGAAAGTGTGACTTTAGTATTAAATCTAAAGTCACCTCCTCTGTTTTTGTGAGTTCTCCTTGTTGATTTTTTAGAGATCCCATGCTTATCTCTGTAAAGTTTTCCTGACCCTGGAACATTATTTCAATGCCGTTACAGAATTTCTTTATGGAATTTAATTTGCCTTCTAGGCTTCCCAGTTCCCTGACCTTTTGGACAGGTCAAAGAGTTTGCGAAATTTTTTTATAGGGCAGTTTTTTTCAAACGTGTTGGTTAAGGTTTGTGTCAGAAACTTTGACATAAACTCAACTTCCACTGAATTCTTCGGTATTGAAGGACTGTCCTCCAGTCCCTGTTTGAGTTCTTCCTTGAAGGCCCACCACTTACAGGTCCTAGGATTACGATATGTCTTCTCACCCGAGGTTTTTGTACCCAGATTAAACAGGATATGCCTATGGTCGAAAAGTGACGTTTCTTTTGAGACGTGCCGTTTCCCCACCAATGAAAACGCCCATTGTGTACCAAGGGTTATATCAATTACCTCCCTTCGCACAGATGCTACAAAGTTTGGTTCATTTCCAACGTTTGCAATACATTAATTTTTAGCTTTATTCCTATTTTTCACAGGTAAATGTACTCTATTCCCTGGCTTACTAACCGATGTGTAAAAATTACTTTTACCCACTGTTACGATACTTCTTCCAATATTTTTGTTCATACTTGGTAAAAAGTCTTCGACCTCAGCCCATAAATATTTTTATTGATCACTTAATTACCTATTAATAAAAGTTTTATATTCGAGCGGTTCTTTAAAGCGTCTATATCGAACTTAATATTAAGTTTTCCTACAGGTGGTCCACGGTCTACATCTCCGTATCTTACTATACTTTAATGTGTTTTTTAGTTTTAAAGGGTTGATAATTCACGGAAATTAATAATGACTGCTTATAATTCATTTAAACTAAATTTTTATTGTTTAAAAGACATTAATTTTTGATCGAACTTCGCATTGCTAGCAAACAGACTTTTAGTTTTTTCTTACCTTGTTCCACAAATAAGTCAAACAGTCCATCTAGTTCATCGTAATAGTCTTCGTGGAATACATCTGAATATATTTGAGAGCAAAGGCGTTTTACGTTTCTTTCGTAAATATTGTTATCCATTAAACAATTTCGATGTTTTGCTACTTGCAATAATAACAACCTAAAAATGTGAAAAGGTAATGTAGTCTAAATCTAAATCACAGAAAGTTTTGTGGTGAATAAAAATAGGAATTCAATTTTCTCGCTGGTATTTAGGATCTTAAATTATAACACTAGGAATGCTACCTTTGAAAAGTAAGTTCTGGAACAGAGCGGGTACATTTTTAGTCACGTAACCACGGAGCAAACGAAGCTTAGAGATCAGTATAGAGTATATACCTTACAATAGTTGCACTAGTCGCACTCTCATTATTTTTGTATAGTTTAATCAAAACTCGCGCTTGCTTCAGTGTCCAGGTACCGCCCCTTAGCATAGATAAGTTCGAACAGACAAGTTCCATTTATTCCTTTAACTGTTTTAACTCCAAACGACTCTTTTAGCTTTCGGTTTAGTCCGATTGGTAATAGTTCAACACGCTTAACTATTATTTAAAAGCATCCTAAAAAAACTCCGCTCCTGTCCCGTTCCAGCCCCTCGCTAATCCGAACACTACTATAGACATTTATTTTATATCTCAATTCTTCTAAAAGGAATAAATGGGTGCGAACAAAGATAGATTGTCTCGTTTTGTTAGGTTGGTGATTTTTTTTTTCTTAAAATAATTTAAATAGTTCTGAATGCGATTTTAGGAACAATATTTGGGCTTCTTGTTCGATTACCAAGAATATTCAAATATTAAATTAATTAACCTTCGAGACCCCTAAGGATACGTCAATGGCTAAGCCAGTTATAAAAAGAAACCGCAGCAAACTAGTATAAATCATAGAATTTACCGGAAACACCACAGTCTATGAAATGGTGGGTCCGTCGACGTATGTTGTGGTGGAAGGACGTCTACATTTTGTGTGTTCCGGTGAATGCGAGAACACTTGGGTTCGCCAAATTTTTATATATTGTTATAGTGAGTTAGTTCAAGCTAAGACATAGTGGTCGGATACTATCGATAGTCGATCCCATTGATCCTATCGATAGTTTCCGATAGTCTCAAGAGTTACTATCGAAACTATACCAATGTTGATACGCAGTAAAGAAATACATTATACTTATAGTTGACATTAAGTACCCTCCTATACCTACTTTTTATTAAAAAAAAATATATTTAAAATAAAGAAAATATATACATACAAAATAACAAATGAATGGTGCCAGGTAAAAACCAGGAGCATCCACGCGATAGAATGAGAAATAACAGTGTTTTGTTTAAAAATGTCATAACTTGATTTTGTTAAGAGGTAATAAAAGTATTTTTGTTTAAGAAACATTCTTCTGTATCTGTAACGTGTGAAGGGTGGGTTAACCCACGGCACTTGGGCCCCACTAGGCTCATTGTGTATCCTCTTAAGTAGATAGGCCGCTCCTAGCTCGTGAGCCAGCCTACAGATTTAATGTAGTTGACAACGTCGCCAAGAGGTGCTTCTCTTATATCGGCCGGTGTTAGCCAATTCTCGCCGAACACAAAGGTTCTAATAAATGAGAGCGTCGGGCAATCGTAGAGGATATGCTCGATGGTCTCATCTTTTTGTTTGCATCCCCTGCAGAGTGCGGACTCTGCCAGCCCCATGATATGGAGATGCTTCCGTAGTTGGCAATGTCCACTCGTGGTCCACTCAGAATGCCTGTCATCAGGCGTTAATTCTGTCAAGTATTTGTTTGCTGTAGTGTTGTCAGGATAACTTAAAAACTCCCTGGTAAGTCTGCAGCTTCTTGTTTCATTCGATCTTTCCTTGAATTTCACTAAGGAATGTTCTTTAATTAGGATTGTCACTACCGATGTTGTCAGTCCAATAGAGGGGTCAGGTCTAAAAAGTATTTGTCTGCCTTCTTGGCAAGTGAATCAGCAAGACGATTACCTTTCGATGTGGCGTTACCTTTCATCCATCCTAAGTTGACCACATTGTTGATGGATACTTCGGCCAAAGCTTCGTGACATTCTAGTACTAACCCTGAATAAATTCATGGCCTGTCCAGGGTGAGTAGTGCTTGTCTGCTATCTGTAGAGATGAGCATCTTTCTTCCAGTGATATTATTTTTGATGCTATGAGAATCCATGTGAGCTCGGGTTGAACTACACTGGCACTACTGCTTACAGCCCATTTTTTGTTTAGGTTTAAGAATCTGGAGTATATTTCACATCCTAAGCCTTGTAATGTTTTAGAACCGTCGGTGTAGATATGAATCGTACCTGCCACTTCCGGCTCTTCTATTTGTTCTATTATAACTTTATATGGCTTATGGAAGATATATCTCGGTGAGATGGAGTCCATATTCGCTTGAAGCTGTGAGAGCGTATCGAGTGCCTCCTGCCAAAAGCGACATCTCGCCTCACCAACCGTGCAGAGGCGTGTCAGTGTCATCAGAGCAACTTCCTTGATGTAAATCTAAGATGTAAATATCAAGGAGAGTGAGACTAAAAATGACTTCCATGGCTCTGGTCGGTGTGGTTTTCATGATTCCTGTTATGTTGAGACATGCTGTTCTTTGAATTTGTTCTTGTTTGCGGATAGCTGTCAATTTTTGGGTTTTCCGGTACCCAGACAACTGCACCGTATGTTAGCATAGGTCTTATAATGGCCGTGTAAGTCCATGAACTCTGGGGGAGAATCCCCAGGTGCGCCCCTCGGTTTGGCGGCATTGTTCATAAGCTATGTATGCTGTTTTGACTCTGCTTTCTAAATGCGAGTTCCATGTTAACTTGCTGTCAAAGATGAGACCTGAGTACTTCACCTCTGTTGCAAAGTTTATTTTTGTGTTTAGGAGTTCTGGAGGTTTAAATTCCATTTTCATAATTTTCCTTGTGAAAAAGACCATCTTATTGTACTGAAGAATCAATAAGCAATGAAAACTAACCTAAAAAAATTATACTTTTGTCTAAAAAAGCTGGAATTATGTGTGAAAATGGGCACTGTCCATCGTATGTGTGAGTAATAAGAAAAAACAAACTTGGAATTTATTTATATTTTTTTCACTATTTTTTTACCTACCTAAAAATGAAAAGATAATTTGGTAATAAACTTCATCTTGAATGTACATTTTCTCCGTTTTTTCTTAGACCAATTTCACTTTGATTTTAAGACCTACACGAGCGACAATTTTCGTGTAAGTTTACGACTTGATTTTTCAACATCTGGAAGAACGTTTCCCATGTAGTGAATCAAACGAACAAAGGCGCAGTCTTATTTGTCCCCCTGCAGCATCGCAAAAAGTATGCAAAAGAAAAGAATACACTACTTCATCAGCTCCTTTTTTTGCTATGTATTCAGGATACGTGTAAAAATATGATTGGGCGTTGGAAAGGACGTTAATATTAAATGAGAACATGGAGAATTGACGTTTGTATTACATATCATTGCAGTAGGTAAGTTAGGAAGAGAAATGCTTTTCTGATAGTCCACTGATATAAGTGATATGGCTTTAAAGTCTCTTCGAGCAGTATTGCGATCAGCAGTTATTCGATAATAAAAGTTTGTGTTTTTCGCAAGTGAAGCTCTTTTTCGGCATTGTCCTGTAACTTCTGCTCCACTTATATGGTTTTTCTCAGCAGCTTTAATTTTGATCGAAAACTAATCGCACCGACTGCAAATATCGGATCTAGGCTATACAAATCCAATAATAAAATGATCCCGGAATATATTTCTATAGGATTGATAACATACTTTTTTGTTAAAAACCAAACATGGTAGATTTTCACCCTATAATTATTGAGGCAAATAACGAAAATATCATAAAGATGTCTAGCGACCGCAATATAGAGATTGCAGTCAACAGATCTTTCGTGACCAATAGAAATAGGCGCTTCATTATGACGCGGTAAATTTCGCAAAAATAGAGCGTTTTAAATAATTGATTTCAAAGTGAACTTTTTAAAGTACTATAACTTTATTATTTATTATCTGTTTAAAGTATTTATTGCATAAAAAAAAGTTTTTTTGTGCTTAAACAGTTAATAGCATTAGATTCGTTAAATTCGTTTACACTAAACACGCACATTCTACTTTCTTTTCAGTCGTCTCCAGATGCCGACGTAACTCGGTCACTTTTAATTCCGCTAACCTCTTCTAAATGGCCTCGGTAAACGTCTACGAATTATCAATCGCGGCGCGCTAAGAGGTGATATTCGCCTTCTAGGTATTTGGCAACGTTGTAAATATTCCATTGGCTGGTTATGAGCTCGAATAATATACGAAAATAGTTTTTAATACCAATTTGCTTCTTAATACCTAAGTTTACTGATAAAGTAAGGTTTTCTTAAAAAACTAAAGACTTTCATCCATTATTTTTACGTAAATAGGAATACAACTTCAGTTGCGTTGTTACAGTTGATTACGTAACAAATAAATAAATCACAAAAATGGGGAATTTAGCGATTTCTTCTAAAAAATGTATATCTAAAAAAATATGTACAAATAATTATAGGAATTTTACATTTCTGTGGTAGGAAGCCGTTGAGAAATTGTGTTGAACAAAAAAAAACAAGCTTTAACACTCTTCATATAACAATCTACAGCGCCATCCTTCTCTTTCCCCTTAGGTAGAAATAAATTTGATTTGTAAAAACTAAATTAAATAATATTCTTACTTGTGAGTTGTTATATATCCAAACGAGCTGTCATCATTTCTGTTATAAATGTCCAAACATTTTCCATTGACCAAGCATGTTTTTGACAGTAACAAACTTGAAATATTAAGCAAATCCTCAAAACAGAAATCAATATTTGTGAAAAACGGATCATTGTGATAGTTACGTATTTTGTTCATTACTGAATAATTTTTAATTCTGGATACTTTAAAATCATTGTATTTATATTTGATGTCTTGCCGCCACATATATGGGATCAACATATTGTCGACGACTAAAATATAAAAAACTAAATGAGATCTTACTTTAAGAAATAAAAACTTATAAAAAAAGATAACCGATCCTATAACAAATTAGTAGCTAATCGAGGTTTACAGCCAAAACACTATAAGTCGGCAAAACGGGAAATAATTATTTTTATAATTTTTGGATATGCTTGAAGTAATGCAATTCTTTAGTGCGGTCCTGGTCCTGATAATATTAGAAGCGTACATTTGTTTACGCTCCTGATTCTTGGATTTTGATAAAGTAAGAGTAAGAATATACAGGGTGGCCAGATAAAAACGAAACAGAGCTATTATCAGCAACTATTTCTCTAGAGAAATAGTCGATATTTGGTCTAGTGAAATAGTCGTTACAAATATAACATGAATACTTGATTAATATTCTGCTTTTTTTCTTGTTGCTAAATTTCTCGAACATTTTACAATTTGATGAGACATAATTTTTGGCATTAATAATCAGTTGATTAAAGCCCTCGAGCTAACGCTCTCGGGCTCTAATCAGATTATTAATGCCAAAAATTATGTCTCATCAAATTAATATTTAAATATTCTCGAGATTTAGATTCAACAAAAATGACCGACTGTTATCAAGGTCTTGGTATATTACCCTTGACTATTTCCCTAGATCAAATAACAGCGACTATTTCTCTAGGGTAAGACTCAATATTTGGTCTAGTGAAATAGTCGTCCCAATTATAACACAACCTTGATTAATATTCTGTTATTTTTGTTGTAGCTAAAGGACCAGGCACCTTTCTTATTAGTCCAAGAGCCAGTGACACACATTTCATTAAGTGTTTGATGCACTTTGAAATTTTGTAATTTGAACATTTGGATGGAAAAGCAGATATACCTGTGTTGGCTTGACCCACCCCGGGACACCAGGTACTGCGCATAATAGAAAGGGGTCGTAAAATACGACCCAAAAAAAGTGTTTGATTCACGCTCAAATTTTAATAGCGTCTTAATTAAATATAAAAAAAATTAATTCCAAAAAGGCAGACACTTTTTCCTGGATTTAATTACCTGTAAACATAAAAATAAGTCTTTCGCTGATCACCCTACAGCTGTATCGGCCGTTCATACAAGAGAAGTGCAACCAACTTGACAAAATAAAATTGACACTAATGACATAAGAAATCGGGTCACATAAAGAGGCTGTTTTTTAGTTTGCTTTATGGTATTTCCTATCTACTTTCATGCCATTTGCATACCTTGTTGTACCCGTAACGTGAAAAAGACTTTTTTCTACGACCGTGTATTTTTACCCACTTTCCCGCACGCATTTTAGTTTTGAAAGTGTCACTTTCCCGCACTAGTGCGGGAAAAAATCACTTTCCCGCACTAGTGCGGGAAAGTAAAATTATGAATATTTGGCCTTACCTATTGTATAGTTTTTTTACCTCGGATGTTATAACTATTGTTACAATAGGTAATTTAGTATTTTCCAACTATTCCATTTAATAAAATTTACTTTTTTTCTTGCTTTTTGTTATAATTTTAATTTTTTGGAAAACTTGAATAATAGAGATATTTTTATATACCTTCTGTATATTTTTAAAAGTCAGACTAGGCTGTGACATGTATGGCTTGATATGGTTACTATATGGTAACCAAGGCGTGTTATTGTTACAAAAACGTCAAAGTTGTTTGTTGAAGCGTCAACTGAATTAAAATAAATTAAAGAAATAATGGATTCATCGGATGAAGAGCTGCCCGAAGCCATTTTAAAAGCTGCAAATGAAGCACATTTGGAGGTGTTACCTGCCAAATCACGAGGAAGATATGAAAAACAATACGACCATTTTGTCACATGGTGTAAACAGGAAGGGGTAAAAACCTACAAATAAGAGGTGTTTCTGGCGTATTTTTCGCACCTAAGTAAGTTTTTGAAATCTACTACTTTATGGTCTCGCTATTCGATAGTGAAAAGTTTAGTAAAAACAAAATTTGGATATAAGCCAGTTCCATAAGTTAACGTCATTTCTAAAACAAAAAAAGGTAAAATTTGAATATACACAAAACTTTTATATTTTCACAAAAATGTATTTTTACACTTTTAGACACCAAGAATAACATATACTTATCGAAATTTGTTGGCGGAAACCTAAAGAAATCCTATTTTTTTTAAATTTTAATAATGATATTTTAGGCTATTTTATTAATTCAATAAATTTATTTTGGTTGTCATTTGACATTGAAGGATGCAATATAAGAAGCACATGGTTGCCAAGTTGTGTATTATTTCTTAAATAAAAGGACTATGTTTTGGATATATTCAAAATTAAATATAAGTTGGAATTTCAATAAAATTATCAATACCTAAGCCTTGCTTATATACGCCGACATCCGAACGGCGGATATTACTATTGAAATTTTACAATTTTACTAAAAGTTGAAACACTTTGAAACATTATACACATATCAATTCTGGGTAAATACCTATTGGGAAAACGGTATTTCCTAAAAGTTCAATTTGTTTTTACAAAAATTAAATTTTTGGCTTTAGGAAGGAGAGTACTTTTTAAATATACCACCGGTAACCCCATAAATGAATTAATTTTTTTAATTTACATATTAATTACTTAAAAGGATTATTTATGTTAACTTGTTCATATGAATTATATCTGTCATTACAAATCGCAGTGTTACTAAGTACTAAGTGGCCAATTAAAATCAACGAAAAATAAATATAAAAACTACCTTATTCTTAACATAACATTTCCAAACACTTTTATTAACTTTTATTAATTTATTTCCAGTCATATCCGACGATTTATTTATTTATTTTGATTGAATTGTTGTAGTAAACGATAATTAAATATTAATTACATCATCTATAAAGTAATAAACAATGTACTTTTCGAAAACTTTTAAACATAATTACTTTGTGTTATCCAAAAGTTTTTAAACTTTTTGAAACAAGGGAATTTATTTGATTGAAAAAAATTTAAAGCCAAATTTAAAGAATACTCTATCAACTAAAGAGGACAGCTGAATTATTTCAATTTCTGCTATGTGAACCGTGACGTTACTCGGTGGATAGATACTTTTTACGGCGTTCAACATTTTTTTCTTTATTTTTAAAATAAAAATAAAGAGGATAACTGAATTATTTCAATTTCTGCTATGTGAACCGTGACGTTACTCGGTGGATACTTTTTACGGCGTTCAACATTTTTTTCTTTATTTTTAAAATAAAAATATTTCAAATATTAAAAAAATCATTTTGAACCAGAGAGAGATAATTAAACACTTCGCTCTTCTCACCCACCTCCTAATCACTACAGAAGTAAGCGAGCGCTCCCTGCTGACGTTGCGCTTCGCTCGCTCTCTTCTATAGAGGTAAGGAGGTTGATGGGACGAACGTACCTTGCTCTTATGGTGTAGATGTAATAAAGGCGCGCTTGGCCGACATTTCGAAATTCGCGCGAATTTCGAAACGTCGGCCGGGCGCGCTCGCTCTCTTCTGTAGAGGTTAGGAGATGGATGGGACGAACGTACCTTGCTATTATGATGTAGGTGTAGAAATTCGCGCGAATTTCGAAACGTCGGCCAGGCGCGCTCGCTTCGCTCGCTCTCTTCTGTAAAGGTTAGGAGATGGATGGGACGAACGTACCTTGATATTATGATGTAGGTGTAAAAAAAGCGCGCCCGGCCAACATTTCGAAATTCGCGCGAATTTTGAAACGTCGGCCGGTCGCGCTCGCTTCGCCCGCTCTCTTCTTTAGAGGTTAGGATATGGATGAGACGAACGTACCTTGATATTATGATGTAGGTGTAAAAAAAGCGCGCCCGGCCGACGTTTCGAAATTCGCGCGAATTTCGAAACGTCGGCCGGGCGCGCTCGCTTCGCTCGCTCTCTTCGCTCGCTCTCTTCTATAGAGGTTAGGAGATGGATGGGACGAACGTGCCTTGCTATTATGATGTAGGTGTAAAAATTCGCGCGAATTTCGAAACGTCGGTCGGGCGCGCTAGCTTCGCTCGCTCTCTTCTGTAGAGGTTAGGAGATGGATGGGACGAACGTACCTTGCTATTATGATGTAGATGTAAAAAAAGCGCGCCCGGCCGACGTTTCGAAATTCGCGCGAATTTATAAAAGTCGGCCGGGCGCGCTCGCTTCGCTCGCTCTCTTCTGTAGAGGTTAGGAGGTATAAGGGCCAAACGTACCTTGCTATTATGATGTAGGTGTAAAAAAAACGCGCCCGGCCGACGTTTCGAAATTCGCGCGAATTTCGAAACGTCGGCCGGGCGCGCTCGCTTCGCTCGCTCTCTTCTGTAGAGCTTAGGAGATAGATGGAACGAATGTACCTTGCTATTATGATGTAGGTGTAAAAAAAGCGCGCCCGGCCGACGTTTCGAAATTCGCGCGAATTTCGAAACGTTGGCCGGGCGCGCTCGCTTCGCTCGCTCTCTTCTGTAGAGGTTAGGAGGTAGATGGGATGAAGGTACTTTGTTCTTATGGTGTAGGTGTAAAATGGCACGCCCAATCGACGTTTCAAAATTCGCGCGAATTTCGAAACGTCTACCAGGCGCGCTCGATTTGCTCGCTCTCTTCTGTAATGGTTAGGAGGTGGGTAGGACGAGCGTTCCGTGTTCTTATGGTTTATGTGTAAAAAGGGCTCGCCCGGCCGACGTTTAGAAATTCCCGCGCACGAGTTTCGAAACGTCGGTCGGGCGCGCTCGCTCTAGCTGTTAATATGGCTTTTATAGATTGTCTGTTAGAACAATCAACCCTATATGAAAGGTATTTTTAGCAATAAGTTTCGCATGGTAGCTCTAGTTTTAACTAATAATATATTTTATAGATTGTACTATAATTTTGCTCCATAAAAAGCCTCCTTCCTTAAACTTCTTTTGCATCAATTAAGACGCCGTTTTTAATTTTTTGGTCCATTGGGACAGTTAAAGTTATATAAAGTTAAATATATTTAGAAAAAACTAGTGATTTTGCTATATGAAACAACAATTTCAGCCAAAGTTTTATACA